AGAGAAAATTGTAAAGAAAACTGTCACTCACTTTTTAATTGCTGCCTTAAAAACCTATGAGCACTCCTTGATTAAAATACTGCTTGGTAATGAGAGAAACGGATGGAAAGGGAGGGAAAGAGAAAATTTAATGAGCTCTATTTAAAAAAATAGAAAAATGGAGTTTTGACATTTTAATAAAAATTAATTAAAAAAATTTCTCTCATTCTAAATTGAGTTTATTGAATATTTTTTCTTTACTCTCATTCTCTATTTTCTCTTGTAGCCAGCGCACTTTAAGTTTAATCCCCCATGTCAGCAGAATTCCCCTGGAAAGGGCAAAAAAGAGTGGTTGTCAAATTGTCTGTGTGTTTATAGGGCCGGTTGATTGGGTTTTTCTGATTTTTAAATATTGTTTGCTTTAGGGTCGTTCTTTTGATTACATTTTTAATATCCTTTTAGATATCTGAGCCCCTTTTTTGTGGGAACAAGGCAGTCCTCACGCTTCCTGCCACAATGTCACCTTTCTTTTCTCTGACAATAACGTTCTCTGCATGCGTAGTGCCTGAAATGCAATTACAGAATTAGCTTGTGATCTTTGACTTTTTTTTTTTTTTTACAGAGTATTTGAATAAAATAAAAATCATAATTTTAAAAGTATTTTTATGGTATACAAAATAAATATGTAAAGAAATTTATTTCAATTTACTAAAAGTTTTTCTTAAAAATATTTTTTATAATACCCAAACACCCCCTCAATTCAGTTGTGATGCCTCTCTTATGTTTTATAGGCCTTAATATTTGCTTATTATTGTTTTACTTTAAGTAGATTGGATTTAGTTGCCATGTAGTGTTTATATTGTGATGTAATAGAGGCGTAATTTCACTAATATGTGCATGTTATAGAAAAAATTGTAATAAGATCCCACTTAAGAGAATTAAATACAAAAAGTCTCTTTAAATTATTAAATTATTCTAAAATTCTAAAGGAACTTATTGTAAAAGATTTTATTTGTTTAATTACTAAATTGTCCTTATTTTTGTTAAGGTATGCATTAACAACTCATAGAACAGTCGTTAACAATTTAAGATGTAACTATTAATAGCTATTGCAGCAAGTATAAACAACACAATTTATTGGCGCGGTACAAAATGTAATACATGAGTTTTAAATATTTACCGCGATAGTTGTTAATTTTTACATCGTAAGTTGTTAACGACTGCACTTTAAGTTGTTAATACATACCTTAACGCAAAAAGAAAAAAGTAATTTGATAACTAAACAAATAGAATCTCTTGTAATTGAGTCCGGTAATTAAACAAACAGAATCTCTTGTAATTGAGCCCCTTGAGACCACAACAATTTGATGATTTCAAATGATCCTTTGTATTTAATTCTCTTAAGCGAGATTTTATTGCAATTTTCCCCATATTATATCATTTTGTCTATACTTAATAAACTGTCTTATCATCAACATATATATTTATAGAGGGAGGAGTGGTTACTAAATTTTAGCGTGTTTTTCATGATTCACACGTACATAAATATACATACTACATTCGGTCTTTAATATAAGAGCTCATTCGACTTTATTTTGGTCCTAAATATAAAATCTCAATTCATTTTGTCTCTTTTATTTATCTATTTTTTTCTAAGTAAGTCCTTATGATAACGATAGCTCAAGCAAATATGCTTGCTTAACAATGATATTTTAGTAAAGATAATACTTATTTATTATAAATAACTAATCTAATTATTTTTTAATTTATTCAAATTAGTTAACTAATACAGTACAATTTTATAAGTTGTACAAATGACTGCAGATTTTAGTCAAATGGTTGTAAAATCTTTTCATGTGCCCAATATCAATTCTATTGATTGATCAACCTTCCACAGACACCATATTTGACATTTTCTTTGTTTTTTTTTGGGCCCGACTATATTTGACATTTTCAGTATATATGTTCTAAGAAGGGCAGTTATTGATTTTTGGTTTTTAATTTAAAAAATGGAGCAGTTAGCACGACAGTTTTGGGCAGATAATTCAAAAGATCATGGCATAATTCTTGGCTTCCTCTCCGTTTTGGTTGTAGTGGGACAGAATCGTTCATACCGAGGAAATCGTCAGCTACCTACCTGACGGCACGGAGAGCATCGAATTATTCAAGACACGGGGAAAGAAACCGCGCTGCAAATAATCAAAATAGAACAACGCCCCAGCTCATGCGTTTCACCCTTTGACCTTGGGTGTTTTCGCCCTTACAACTTCGCGGACGTCGCCTTTTCAGAACGGTTGGCGGACGGTGGCTCTGCATACATTAATGCAATTCTAAATAATCAACGTGCGCGTGAAAACTCAATCCTATTGACCCACCTCACCTTTTTCTCTTCAACACAGTTCATCTTTTGGCACCTCCTTCGCCGACATCTCAGGGGAAAAGTCGTGAAAATGAATCAGTTCACGAATTCAAACCGATACAGTACATATATTCATCAACTTACTATCAAATTAATTAACAGATTGTATTTTCATGGCACTGGACAGTTAATTTAGAAAGTAAGAATATGGAGTATCTATGGCTACTAGCGTGAACAGAGTAGCCCCGACGAAATGCTTTTTTTTTTTTTAAGTGAAATTTGTTTTTTTTTCCTGCTGAGGATTAAAGTAATCTTAATTAAAGAATATTAACCATTAAACGGCGATGTAATGGTGTCAAGCGAGAAGTTAGGAATTTATTTAAAAGAAAACAAAAACATCTATTTAACACCATTTGGTCGCAATTGAATGATTAATATTTCTTCCATGATATGATTGCGTGCCCCTAATAAGGTGGGGGGGGGGGAACCTTTTCTACGAAGCTTTGCATGGTATGTTGGATTTCAATATGAAATAATACTGGCTGAATCTAGCTGACCCCTGCACTAAGTAAATCAGACACTTGCTTACCATGTTACTATGACTATTGATACAATCCCACGTTGCTGCCCGCTTCATCTTGCGAAAATGGCGTTCCACGGGCCCTGGCATGTTCCTGAATTTAGAGTTAATTATTGTATTAATTTATACTGCTAATTAATTATTATTTTTTAAATGTACCATTGTAAATCATTGTTTATGTGATATTCTCTCACTGCTTCAATTTTTTTTTTGGTACAGTGCTCCAATTATAAAACGACGGGCAAACTGCAAAGTGTCGCCTTTGAAAGACCAACAGGACACCGGGGCTTGCATATTTTATCCATAATATGCCCACGCCAGCAGGCCCGCGTTCTCATTCACAAAACGACGTCGCTCTGGAAGCGCAGCAGAGACAATCGGGAAGATAAAGGATTTTAAGCAGAAACAATCAGGGCGGGAGCGAGCAAGTTAAGGTTTTCCCGGCACATACTTCACCAGGAAATTTTAATCTGATGCCTTTCGGGGAAAATGAAAATGGAACGACAAAATCTGAAGAGCTCGCTTTGAATCACGGGTAATGTGAGCTAATCTCCTTAGTCCCAAAAGAAAATGTAAGCTAATCCTCGTCTGATTCAATCCTCCAACTACAAGCCCACGGCAACCATGGAGCCATCCATGATATGAGGCTGAATATTTGGTACTCGGGCCAAGCGAGCAACATATGAGAAAGGAACAATAAAATGTCTGAGACTTTGGCGAAAAAATGTTTTCCAACTCGCCTGAGACAACTAATTTGACATTGGAATTAGTACAATGAGTGACATTGAAATCTGATAGCATCCATAGGTGCATGCATGATGATTACATGATTATGAAGTTCATTCAATTTCTGAATGCGTTTTACCTGAGAACCGGAACTTTCCATTGACTGAATTCGCATTCCTGCTTTGCGTAGAGGAACTTGGAATCAATTAGAAGCACTATCTTAGAAATTCAGATCCAGAAACTGATCAAACAACGATTCCTTCGATTATATTGCTGCGACCAGACACTTCTTTTTGCAGCTGTTGGAAAGATTCCTTTAACCATTTAATTTCTCTCAAAACATCAGGATTGTGACTGCATGGTTCTGGTAGTTAATTTCATTACGGTCTTACAGATTTTCTTTGGCAATGCCAACGATAGGTCCCTTGGTAGCGCTTGCGCCCTATTTGAAGTCTGAGTTGGAAGGTAAGTGTATGTTTACAACCGCAAGTTTGTTCTAAGACGACTATGCATGAGATACTAGAATGTCGGCAATGGTAAATTCTGGGGGAAAAACATTAAGAAAATCTCAACTTTCACACCTGATTGATGGGGACAAGACAAATCCTGTTTTCGGCAGAAAAAAGGTTGATAAGATGCCCAAGAATATTTGGGATTGCGGCCGTTGGAGCTCAACTTCATAGCAAGCACTTTAACTAATTTATCCTGTAGATGGTCCGATTGCATTCAACAATTGGCAATGGCGTTAGTCTCCATCCACTTCTTTTGGAATCTGTGGATCCTTTTTTATTTGCTTCATGCTCTTAATAAAAGATTTTGTGTATTCACACAAATTGATGATCGAATGTGATTCTCTATTGCAAATTGCTATTGTGCTTTTGCATGCTTATTCCTTCTGCTCTGTAGACTAGCCTTGTTAGCCCATCCGGATCATTCTCCTTTGGTCAACCGACATCATTGACGATGTTGAAATTTTTTCACGTAATCTTCGTACAATATGTCAAACAAACCCAAACATTTGTGCGAACGAAAGACAGTATCTCAAAAGGATTAATACGAGTGAGATAGCAGAAATGGTAATCAGAAAAACCTTGTGAAAATAGTAAGAATAACTATAACAGTAGTTCATGACAGAGATAATTATATCAAATTTTTCTATAGATTATATCTGCAATGTTATAAATGTTAAGTGATTTATTAGGCATCCATTGACATGAGAGAATGAGCGGTTTGGAATCCCTAGATGATAAACTAATCTTCACATTTATTGTTATTTATTACAGGCTCAACAAGGAGAGACCCCTGCTTTCAAATCTGTTCTAAAATTTATAAAAATTTATTTAGTATGAATATGCTGCCACGTCCTCTTCTATACCTGCATTCTCTCAATTGCGCCAATGGCTAAACTCTTGTGATATGAGCAATGAAAGAATTCATTTCCAAGGAAGAAACTCCTCCTTCCTCCAATGACTGCTGGATAACTTTTTTCATGTTCATTGCCTTCTTTCTCATCTCATCACCTTCACTTGTCGCCATCAATCTATTCACGGCATTCTTAACAACTGATGCAGTCACCAACTCATCTTTCTGAGTCCTTTCCTTCACCATTAAACCAACTTGAAGCACTTCAGTTATCAGAACCCCGTTCCTTGGCTGGTCTGAGTGCATAGGCCATGCTGCAATTGGCACCCCCATAGTAATGCTCTCCATGCACGAGTTCCATCCACAGTGACTCATAAACCCACCTGTTGAGGGGTGGTTTAGAATCTCCAATTGGGGGGCCCAATCTCTTACAATTAAGCCTACCCCTTTTACTCGTTCTTCAAAGCCCTGTGGAAGTTCAGCTCTTCTAAGTTCTCCATCAGTAATGTCCCCTTTATCAGCATCCCTCAACACCCAAATGAACTTCTGCTTGCTTGCTTCCAACCCAATTGCAAGCTGTTTGATCTGTTCCTTGGTTAATGTGATTGTTGTTCCAAAAGACACATATAAAACTGATTTTTGCTCTTGTCTATCAAGCCACTCCAAGCTAAGGTGCCTGTCATCAGAGCTCTTCTTCCCGATTGCTAGTGGGTTTAAGGGTCCCATAGCCCAGTGCCTCTTGCTGCAGTCAATGCGTTCTATCAAGTCCATGTAAGGATTTTCAATTGCTCTGGTTGTGTTGTACAGCTTTCCACTGCTAAATTTATGGAATTCATGTTGTGCAGAAATGAAATCTAAGAATTGAGTTGTGAAGCATCCCTCAAGAGGAGGAACTTCTGGGATATGGATGCCATCCAATTCCCCCAAAAGTTTTCCCATTCCCTCCCTAAAGAACGAGAACATGGCAAAGGCAGAGACACTGTGGAAAGTGTAGGTCTCTGCATTTGCTATGTCAGTAGCATCTTGCACGACTGATGCCATGAGGGAGTCATGTATCACTATGACCCTTCGAGCCACAGATGAAAGGGATCGTAAAAGCATGGCTACGGGCTGGCGGAGATGCATAGAGGCCTCAAAAGAGGGTAGGAGATGGGATGGGAATTTGGTTTCCGCGTTGGGGTTGGGCAGAGGAGAAACAAAAGGAGGAATTTTGAAGTCATGGCTGTGAAAGTTTGAGATGGAATTAGGGTCCCAGCCATGCACACGAATTGTGGCCTGGTGGTTGTGGACTGGTGTGCCCACATAATGGACTGGTATGTTATATGCCAGGATTAGGCGGGAAAGGTGGAGAAGCTGGTTTAGATGGCCTTGTGCAGGGAAAGGTACTAGAACCACCACCACTTGCGCTTGATGAAATTCCCCTGTGCTATGCTTTTTATGGCATTGGTTGCTGGAAGCCATTGGTGATCTCTGGAAGCTAGAGGCCATGGACACTGGCCACATTGTCTTTAAGTGAAGGAAGAGTGTTTGGTAATGCTTAGACGTATTTGCTGCGCTATCCTATTTATAGAACCAGAGTTGTGAAATTCTTTTCAGACACTGAAATGTATTCTTTTGGTTAGGACTAAAGGAAAATGCTTGTTTTTTTTTTTTTTAAGTCATTTCAAGTCAATCATTAATCGTTGATAAAGCTAACAACTCAACAAGATACGTGCTTATCCTACTAGAAATTACTAACATATATCCTTAAAATATCTATCGACTTATTCGACATGATTAACTAAGGCTGCAGATTATTGACCATTTCATGGCAATGGTGACAGTTTAGTTCTTAGGAAAGTTTCCATAGTTGATATGCTTGCTCGCTACTGAAATTTTGGTATATCTTCTGTCAAACTGTTGCATATACATGTTACTTGCCAAGCGGTATGCGTAGGGTGGCCCTAGATAGATACGTAATACATAACCTACTCCACAAGCAAATGGATAAGAGAGCTGTATTTAAAGATGAATGCACTCAAAATGAAAGCAAGAGGAAGTGCATCAGCCTATAGCCTGAGGAGAGATATATGTTCTTGGACCCCTGGACTGATTGGTAGTGCAAGAAACTCATTAAAATGAATGTGATAGTGGATTGTGCCACTTGAAACATTTTTGTTCTGATAAATTTTTGACAGTTTGTTTTACTTGATATATTATATGTATTTAAAGTTTCTCTATAGCCACAAAACCATGACTCTGTCATTGCAATTGATTGAAGGAAAATAAGGCCCACGTAGATGCAAGTTACAAAAAGTTCTGAGGACTCCATGCAAAGCTGCCCACGTGTTTTGATATCAGTGCATGCAACCCAATCTATCATTTGAATGGTTTTCTACAGTAATAATATAATTATGTGTTGAGTGGTAGCTGTCACTCTCATGAAAGCCCACCTTCCACGCGACAACGATTAAAAACCACAGAGAAGAACCCTCTTTTGGAATGATTGTGGAACTTTACTTTTGTGGTAATTGCATTTTATGTTAAAAACTGTCTTTACACATCCTTGTGATCTCTCCCTCTTTTTTCACGTGGTTCTGTAAAAGAAGGTTGCTTTGACCTTGGGTTAATTTTTATGGTTATTATAAACTCTTTTGAGCCTCCTGCTTCTTTATTCTCCATTTTCATGACAGCATTATGTATCTATCGGTCAAATCAACAGTTTATTTTCCATTTTCAGTGCCATTTCTGATTTGACTACTCAGCCGCCTTACATCGTGGCATGTGAACAGAGCCTGCGTCGGCAAAGGAGAGGCTTCTGTTGATTCATTTGCTTGCTTATTACTTTGTCGCTATATTGTTAGCTCAAATCCTTTCATACAGATTCCAGACACGGTTACAGTGATCAGAGTGGGCAGAAAAGACAACTGAAAGAAGAAGAACTCAGTTATAGTGCTGTGAGATTTGCTGCAGATACTTTCCACGTGGTGATTTCTCACGTCGACTTGCCTCCATCCATGCGTGTGAGCTTGACAAATTCCTAATTGCAATTGTAGAGTTCTGTTCGAATTTTGGTTCTATCATTGTTCATTGCCCCAACAGTTCACGTCTCTATTTCTGCACACACAACACTGCCGTCATATATGTAAGAATCTCAATTAATCAGAGTATCAATTCATTACAAGTTGTAAATGCTATTGTTCTTGCGGGTCCAAAAAAAATGCTATTGTTCTTCATCACTTGTCTTAAATTCCACGCAGAGGATTATGTTATATTCTTGCGCTACGGAAGACACTTGCCCAAACAATCATAAAGTAACAGATAAATGCATTTAGTTTCAGCTCCGAAGAATGAAACAAAATATTTTGGATATCTCTTGAAGGACACGACGGTACGGTAAAAGACAAATGTATCTCTGTTCCCCAAGTTCAATGCGGTTCAAGTGTCAAGACGACCGAGAACAGGTCCTTCGGTGTTTTTTTCTTTCGCTTGACCTGAGGTCAATATCTCTCGTGGATAAAGGTTATCCAATCTGTCCACGAGGGAGTGGGACCAGCGAGGATCAATTTTTTTATGTTAAATACTCCTCCGGTCCTTATTATAAGACCTAATTTGACTTTTTATTTGGTCCTAATTATAAGACCCAATCCATTTTGTCTCTTATATTTATACATTTTTTTCCAAGATAATCCTTCTAATAATGATAGTTTTAGCCAATATACTTAATTAGCAAGGATATTTTAGGAATGACAACACTTATTTATAAATAACCAACTTAACTTACTTCCTTAATCAAATAGTCAATTGGATAATTAGGGAGATATATACACATGAGATTGTATGCGTTTTTCATTTGGATATTTACGTGAATGCAAAAGAGATGGTCGATAGAGCAACGAAATCCACAGGATATTGGGTTGCAAATATTGATGCGTTACGTCTAAAATTAAAAAATGTTTAGAACCATCCAAAATACTTTTAAAAAGTACTTTTTTTAAAAAGTGAGATAAACTATTTTAGATATTTAATTACTTCATATATTATAAAAGTATTTTTAAAATTATAGTTTGATTTTCATCTAAATATTTTCTAAATAAATGCAAACACAGAGTTTGTAAGAGAGAAACAGTGGGAAAAAAAAAACTCATAAAGCAACTAATCAAATGTCAGTATCTGCCTTAATTCAAATTTTTCCCAAGATTGTTTCATCACCTTTTCTCTGCTAGTTAAAAGTATACCGAGAAAAGATAACAGCTATTATAACAAAAAAAGTATTTAGGTAGAAATAAAACCATAATTTTAAAAGTGTTTTTATGATTTTTGAAATAAATATGTGAAAAAAATTTACCTCAATTTATGAAAAATACTTTTAAAAAGTACTTATAAGATTACCCAAACATCCCTAAAATCTAAAATAGTTATGACTTTTAAGATTCTTGCTACTGCCAATACCCAGAATAAACCTTGTATAGAATTTAGTTTGAGCAAGATTGTTAGGTTAAGGTGCAAATTTATTTAGGAAACGTCTGCAAATGTATACTTGCCACCATAATATTCACTTGGATGCAAAAATATCATGTCTATAAATTTAAATAAATGTTTGTTAACTTTTAGAACATAAATGGGTGTAGCACCCACCATTAAAAAAATAATTGATGTTTGCTTAAATAAATTATTGTGGTATTTTTTGTGTGTCATTTTCAACTTTTCACGGATGTTTGGTCTCAAATAAATACCATGATGCCATGTGCATATTTGTAAAAAAAAATTATAAGTAGATTTGCATCTTAATTCGATAGAGTTAACTGTACATGCATAGTCTCTATTTGCAACATATAGTGAATTGTGGTGTTCATTACTATTTTTATGATACATCGATTTCATGCTGATATATCAAAATTAGACAGGTTAAACTAAAAGTTTAAATGGGCAATCCACGAAGTTTGGAACTAAAAAATAAAAGTTTCAATTTAGACTATAATGGACACAGTTTATGGTACAAGACAGCGTTATTACGGGATGCTCAAAGTCAATCAATAACCATTAGCAGCGCAATACGGATATTTGCAGGCTCACGGAACTCATAAAACAAACCGCCATAATGAGAGCGTCGTTGGCGATCACATCCCAAAATGAAAATGTATGAACTCCATCATCTAATTTATGGGCTGCCAACAAGTGAAAAAACCATGGACGAATTTGACACATTCTAAGAAGTGATTAATTAAGAAAATATCAAACACATTGATGTTATTGTTGTAATAAGTTTCATTAACATATTCTCATAGCTGGGGCTTCCAAAGTAAAAATGATAGTGATATTGAATAACTTACTAATGAGAGGCAAATGGCTAGAGTCTAGTGATATGAGCAACGAAAGCTTCTATTTCTAAACGAGAAACTCCTCCTTCACCACATGACTGCAAGACGACATCTTTGAGGTTCGTGGCCTTGTTTCTCATCCCATCTCCTTCCTTTGTTGCCATCAATCTTCCACAGCATTCTTAACAGCTGAAGTTGTCACCAACTGATCTCCGTGAGCCCAGTCCCTCACCATTAAACCAATCTGAAGAACTTGCGCTATCAAAACTCTCTTCCTTGGCTGGTCCGAGTGCACAGGCCATGGGGCCAGTGGCACTCCCATTGTGATGCTCTCCATGCATGAGTTCCACCCACAGTGACTCATAAACCCACCTGTTGAAGGATGGCTTAGGATCTCCAATTGGGGTGCCCAGTCTCTTACAATCAAACCAGTCCCTTTCACTCTCTCTTCAAACCCTTCCAAATACTGTTCGTCTCCTGTAATTTGGACATCAGAGTCGTCTCCTTTATCAGCATGCCTCAGCACCCAAATGAACTTAACCTCGCTTTCTTCCAACCCAATTGCAAGCTGCTCGATTTGTTCTTCTGTGAAGGTGGTGGTTGTTCCAAAAGACACATATATGACTGAGTTTTGCTCCTGTTTGTCTAGCCAGTCCAAGCTAAAGTGCCTTCTTTGTGAGCTCTTTCTCTCAATCACCAGGGGGTTGAAGGGACCAAGAGCCCAATGCTTCTTGCTACAGTTGATACGTTCTATTAACTGCATGTAAGGGCCTTCAATATCCCTGGTTGTGTTGTAGATATTCCCGTTACTGAATTTACGGAAATTATGCTGCGCAGAAATGAAGTCCATGAACTGAGCTGTGAAGCATCCTTCAAGAGAAGGAAATTCTGGTATGCGAATGTTTTCCATGGAAGGTTTTCCCTTTCCCTCCCAGAAAAACAAGGACATGGTAAAGGCAGATACACTATGGAAAGTGTAGGTCTCAGCGTTGGCTATAGCAGCAGCATCTTGTATCACAGACGCCATTAGAGACTCATAGATGACAACCACTCTTCTAGATACAGACGAAAGGGACAGTAAAAGTGTGGCTACAGGCTCACGAAGATGGTGAGAATTGAAGGCCTCGAAAGAGGGAATGAAGTAAGATGGGAATCTGGTTTGAGGACTGATGAGATAATGCAGAGTATCAGAATCATCACAAG